GGAAAAAATGGCGATTATTGGTTTTTTTTTTTTTTTTTTTTTTTTGGCGACTTTAAGGGGAGCGCGACGGCCAGGCAGAGACTACGGGCAGGTGGGATGTGGCCCGCGGGCCAAACGTGGCCCAGGTTGGCCTCCGAGGGAGCCTCGCATTCCGTTCGGCTGACTGTCTGCAACGTGTCCTTTGAGAATCGGCGGACTAATTGCAGCAGTTCAGTTCTTTGAATCATTACTTTGTACAATGTGACTTATGGCGAACGACTTCTTAGAGCTCCGTGCAATTACAGCTGAAGTTCAAGACAGCTCGGCAATGGTCCCAAGACGGAAATTGGCACCCGCGCTAACACTTCACTTGAGTTGTATGCGGAAGCAGCAGTTGAAAGGAAACGAGGAGCGTGCGCGGTCAACTTGTGGGCGCAGCTCGATGCCCAGCTAGAACACACGCAAACCATGACGATGCTGCGAGACAAACTATCTGACAAAAACGTGCCGCTAAGGGAACAAGAACGACCATAGCGAGAGGTCTCGAAAACAAACACTTGAGCTCGAGCGGCAACAAGGTCAACTAATCTGACAAGCAGCAGGCAGTTCGTCGGTCCTTAAATACGTGGCCGGTGAAAAGCGGCAGCGCGTGTGCACACTGAAGGGAAGGCCCTCGTCTGCCACCTACTGGAGACACATAAGAACAGGATCACGATGGCCTGTGACTTTGAACTTGTGTGGCGGGGCCTGACCACCGCGGTGAGTGACGTGGCAATCGGCGGAGGATCATATCGAGCTGGCTGCTGTTGAATCGGGATGGACACCGGTTGTTCACCGGCTCGCAAATGGCCAGTTTGCACGTCAGATTTTGTTATCAAGCGACCGGCCGCGCACCAGGGGGCATCCGAGCCTGCGAAGCGATTACAATTCCTTCTATTTAGCGCAGATAGACTATTAAAATGAGCTAACGATGTTTACCTGATCAGAGAGGTTCACTCTTGTAATCTAGTTCTGCAATCGCAAGGAATTGAGGGATTTCGTCATCCAGAGTACCGCCGAATGCTTCAGAGAATCTGAAGACATCTCTGGACGTAAGCGGCAAGGCTGCAAAAGCGCCACTGAATTCTTGTGAACATCTGTGAACGCGCCATTCATGCAGAAAGCTCGCCAGCTACAGGTTGGGGAGAAAAGGACTGTCATCCGAGCAACGGCTTTTTCATGGACGCCATTGCTTATTTTAGCACGACAATGCCAAAGTGCACGATGCACGTGGTGGAAGAGTGTGGCTTCGTCGCCGAAGAGCGCGCCAATGAGGACAGCCAAAACTGGTGAACAGCTGAAGCTGAACATCAAGCAAGAATGGGAAAGAGTTCCACCTCCACAGCTTCCACGAACGGTGTGCTCGCTTCACAGAGGCCGATTAGCAAGTGTTTGGCGCAAAGGACGGGAAGCTCGCCTCAGTCGCAGCCTCTTCGGAACGCGTGCCAGAATCTCAATGCAAATTGTGTCATAAGAGCGGCAAACAAGAAGATCGACACGTTGTTTATGCTCCCGCCGTAGCCCCCAAACAGTGAAAAAAATGCATGTCGATGCGTTGGCGAAGTGGCATCGTTCACTAAAGGTTTTGCTCTGATTGTGTCCAAAGCCGTTTGGCAACCAAGTTGGAGGCTGAGCGGCTTTCGGGCCCGCTGTCAGGAACGCCTTCGCCGAGGCGAGTTTGAGCGCCTGGCAAAAGTGTTCAAAGGATCCGAGTCAAGTGGAAGAGGGTGTGTTTTGGGTGTTCTCCGCTTTTGCCCTTTTCAAAGTGACGTTGGCCAGCAATTAAAAAAAACAAGACACGTTCTTTCATAACTACGTTCTGATGATGTTGTCACGTTCTTTGGACTTGTTTTCACTCAACAGAATAGAATGAAAGGCGTGAATCAACAGGTTGTTTGCTCCTTGCCGTACAAACAAACCACTTACTTGTTAGGTTTGCCAGGCCACCCTGACAGCACTGGGCAGCTCCTTCAGCCAGAGATTGATACACCCGCGCTGCAAGTAGGAGAGGTACCGCCGCTCGTTCCTACCGACTGCTTTCAGGCTGCTGTATAAAAATAAAATGACGTGACAAACAATTGTAAATAGCACAGCCACCTTCTCTCTATCTATATTTATATTGCACATAATGGAACTGTGTGCATTGAAACTGAAACATTTATTTTCGTGAATGCAAACACTTTGTTTTTCTTCCTTCTTCTTTCTACCTAATCTTGCGGCTGTAGACTGTAAATTTCCCCAATGTGGGACAAATAAAGGATATCTTGTAGTGTTTTGAATTTATTATTCTTTTAATTTGTTATTCTTTTAATCATAAATGAGAAATGTTCAACAGTACACACTCCCTTCTCACTCTGCTCCACTTTCACTTTTTTTTTTTAACTAAGCTTGCGGCCGGAAACAAATGTCACTTTTATTATTATAATTTTTTTTTGTCATGTCGCGGTCTGCTGAAAAATGGATGGCGGGCCGCAAATAGCCTATGGGCCATAGTTTGGAGACCCTGATGTATAGCTTGTAAAACAACTTAAAAAAAGGAGAAGAATAAAACGTTGAGACCGTCTCAGTTTTCCTTCGACAGTGGTGCCTTGAGAGTTGAATTTGTATCGTCAGCACACTCCGAACTCAAAACCGTCATATTTGAAATCATCTCTTTTCTTTGAAGACATAAGATTGCGGGGCTTTTGACGTCCTTGGTCGGGACGGGGCAAAATTGACACAAAAACAGGCCGAATGTCAGCCTGACATGCAAAAGGACGACATGCTTGCGGCGACCTCTAACGGCCAAAGACTGGAAGGACCAGACAAGACAGATAGGGAAAGATTCAGAGCAGTGCATGGAGGGTCGTAAATGTTTAAAACAAATCTAAATGTGGCTGGGTGATGGAATACAATTTAAACAAATAATAATAAATGGTGCTGACGAGTTTGCTGAAGATCAATTGAGGTCAACTCACCATGAAAAGGCGGGACGCGGCCTGGTCCGCAAAAGTCGGCGTGTCACATTCCACAGGAATATTCCGAAAGGTCGTGGTTTCGAAGTTGGCAGACTCAACAGCTTCCAGTTGAGCATGCGAAAAAAAAAAGCAACATTGTGTGACGTTAACTTTCAAAGAGCTTTTAAAAACATTGTACCATATTTTTGAGAATTTGGGTCACCCAAAGATTTCGCCAGAGGAACAGAGTTTACCAGTTTACCAAGAGTTCAAAAACATGGCGAGCAATTGGGTCATGAGACCGTTTTGGGGTGGAAAATGTTCACAGAAAGCATAAAAACTCGATGGCAGAAATGTGTGGTAGTCCTTTGTACGGAAGAGGATTAGGGCCAAAGAAGAATATTAAAACAAGGATGGCAAGACTGTCAGTTTTTTACCTGAACGCTCACTTTAAAATCAGAATGAGCAAGGTCAGAGTTCTGACTTTAAGGTGTCAATTCCGGGATTAAAATCCGATGTCTGATAAAAAAGGAGACTTTTGCCAACTTTGTTTTTTTTTTTTTTTTTTCAATTGGCCCGATTAATCTTCTGGGTGTCAATTCCGGGATTAAAATCCGATGTCTGATATAAAAAGGAGACTTTTGCCAACTTAGTTTTTTTTTTTTTCAATTGGCCCGATTAATCTTCCGTATTTCCCCTCTTGTTTTCTTTTTCACATCCAAGATATCGCTGCGAACCACCAGGCCTTCCGTTCTGTCTCCCCCTGCTGGTCATCGTTTGGTTTGCGTTCCTCGGGACGGATTGGAAGGTGAATTCCTTGTGTGTTTGACAAACATAGCCAATAAATATAATTCAGATTTTACATTTAGGCGTAACATTTAAAATTGGGACTTCATTTCTCAAGTTAGTCGTTTTAAATGTGTAATTTTTTTTTAAACATTCGCAACCCCAAAAGTTTTTCATGAAACCCTTTCAGCAAAATGTGACAAAATGTGGTCCTTTTCATTTTTTTGGGCCAGAGGACGCATTCGCTCCTTCAGGCAGAGGATGCGAAATTGA